GACGCTAATCAAAGAGGTTGCGAGTTCGAGGCTCAGATGATACGTCACTTGGATCCGGGTATGACTGGCTGACGACGGCTAATAAGTCAGAAATCGCCTTTCCAGTATCCCTTGATTTTGGCGGTAATACTATCTGTGAAATAAACTGGAAGAGGTATGGACGCTTGATGACAGTCCTAGAAAGTGCTCGGAAAACACATGCCCACATCTCCTGCCAGATTGGGGGTATTTTACGGGGACTTAAATGGGGTTGTACCAGCAGGCTGACCACCAAATTTTGGCTAAAATACTGGCAGATGAGCAAGCGGAAGACATACCCCTTTGGCCTGGTTATAAGTAGTAGGTCAGTGAAAAGAAAAAGGTGCACTTTGGTGGGCTTGAAACGCATGACATCAGAAAGCCTTCGTCTGGTGCTTCCTTGAGTCGCACTGGGGGTCAAGAGAAGGTTCATCTCACCCTCCTTCACCAACTCTCGATTCTCCATCGCGACTGCCTGCAAAATGCAAGGATAAGAATCAGCGTTCTTGTGCGCTACTCTGTACGTTTAACTCGAAGCCGGCATCAATAAAGTTGGTCAGTAACCACAGACATCGCTAGACCCAGGATTTTGTCTTATGGGACCAGCAGTAAAAGGGATTTTATGAGTGCGCCATATCAGGAATAGAAGAAATAAATTAAAAAGCAGTGAGTTTAAATGCAGAAATAATGAGAATAATTGTTTGCATAACCTAATAATGGGCACGCGATAATTAAAAGGAGAAATAAAACCAATGGGAAAAGAGTAATACGCAAAAGTACCCGCGATTTGGATACTCACGTCTATTGACTTTATATCGAACTTGAGTGATTAAAGTATAACCGCGAAAGATAGGTTTTTTTCATATTTTTAAAACTCGAAATAGCTTCTAAGGCATCTAGATAGAAATCTTAAGCCGAAAAACAACCGCACGTTGCTTAAAAACTCATATTTAATTCAAAATTAAACTCATTAACAGCATAACTAAAATTAAACTAATAAACCTAATAGTAGACTTAAAAGTAAAGTAACCTAAAACTAATAAAACTAAAAGTAACCACAAGAAGCTAAATACTTCAATGTTGGGCGGGGCAGTAATACACATAATTAAACCTACTAAAATGCATATATTATCCATTTAGGTACAGTTGTCTAACGACGGCGGAAAACAAATTTGCAACCTCTAGGCCTCGGAAACACTTCGTAAAAATTGCTTTATATCATAGGCTAGACATGCACCATTAGAGATTAGAAATATAACCCTGATACCAGCAAGCAATGTTGCATACCGTAATGTTTTTTGTTTCCAGTATTGAAGGAAAGACTGGCGAACTTACTTCCAAAACTAGTGAATATAATTTCAGCTAATATCCCCATGCTAGCCTGGAACATGTAATCAGCAAAGGAGTGTTTTCGGTAACCAATCCTCAGGCCACTACACGAAATATCACCTGAACTACTGAAATTCTGTTTTCTGCACTGACAACTTATGCAAGTAGTGCAGTTATACTGATTAACATACATTATAATCTCATGATACTAAAGTCACGCCAGGATGTCGGGTTTTAAACGAAACCCTTTCTGAACCCCTGCAAAAATTACACTTTGCTAGTAAAATGGCTGAAATACAAATTTTATTTAGAGGGCAAATAAGCTGGAATTATTGCAGAATGAGTAGTTCTCCATTATGTCAGCTGAGCTTATTTGGCGCGCGGCCTTTTAACAGTAGGCATTGTCACCCGAAACCCGACTCCAAAAGCGATTATACATCCACCATTTTCTCCCAATACCACAGAGAAAAAGAAAAAAAAACCGCGTTGATGTTCCCGCATAGAGAAAACTCACCCGCATCGTACTTTGGAATTCAAGTTGGTTAGATAAGGTTAGGAGTCGTTCCTTCTTCTCCATGTAGCCCGTTTGAGCGTTGCATTCACTTATTAGCTAAAAGATGATAAAAGTGCAATCGCATGGTAGATCTTGAATGAGGTTTTAAATGCAGACCTTCAGATATTCTACCTAGACCCTGAATTAATCAGAATTAATCATATATTTATGTGCTCATTTCAGCTCCACCATCACCACAACAACCACCACCACCACTGACAACGGCCAAGACTACCAAAATGGTCATTGCTGGGTTATTAGCGCTCATCAGGCGGCCATCTCCAGGAGCACAAGAGTCTCGAATCAGTGACCTCTCAGTTAGAAGTCCAACGAACCTCGAATGTTGGAGTTTGATTATGGCTGGCTGATGGCCATTCC